GCAGAGAAAACAGCGACCAAGGCCCTGTGGTGGGAATGTGCTGTCAAGTCCCAGGAGGTCACTGCGGCTGAGGCCCAGTGAGGGAAGGGGAGGAAGAAAAAAGTCGGAGACAAGTGGGGCTGGGGGTCCTGGGAAGGCTGTTTGAATCTTTCTCTGAGTGATGTGGGACTGACTGCGGGGCTGTGAGCAGATGAGTGACATGACTGAATTTTTAAAGGACTATTCCTTATACTATGTGCATGTTTGAAATTGCCCTAATAAACAATAAAAATAAAAGGCTAACTTCTTAGTAGCTGGGTTTCAAAGAGGCCCAGTGGCTCAGACCAGGCTGGTCACAGTAGATGATGGGATTTTCCATTAATTTTGTAAGTTGAATCAACAGGATTTTTTGCTGAAGGGTGAAAGAAGGGAAGGCATCAAGAATGGCGCTAAGATTTTAGGAACAGGCGTTTGGAGATTTTTGGAAGGGTGGGTGTTACCATCAATTGAGACAGGGATGTATGGGTAGACCAACTGAAGGGGTGTATTAGTTTCCCGTTGCTGCTGTAATAAACTCAGTGGCTCAGAACACCATAGTTTTATTTATTCTCTTACAGTTCTGGAGGTCAAGAGTCTGAAACCAGTTTCCCGGGTTAGTCGAGGTGTCAGTGGGGCTGGTTCCTTTTGGAAAATCTCCTGAGGGGAGAATCTGTGTCCTTGACCTTTATCTACCTTCAAAGTATATCATTCTAAACTCTGCTTCCATCACCACACTGCCTTCCCCTCCTCTTGAACCAAATCTCCCTCTGCCTTGTTCTTATAAGGACACTTACATTACATGCAGAGCCCACCAGGATAGTCCAGAATAATCTCCCCACCTCAAGATCATTAACTTCATCATATCTGCAAAGCCCCTTGTGTAATATAAAGTAAAATCCACTCATTCCAGGAATTAGGACCTGCATATCTTTGGATGCCGTGACTCAGCCTACCACCGTGGGTAAATTCGGTCCAGTTTGGGATATGTTGCATTTGAAATATCTATTAGACATCAGAGTAAACTGCTGAATATACAAGTGTGGCGTTCAGTACAGGGCCTGGACTATAGAAATACTCATTTTGGAGTCACCAGCATACGGATGAGATTTAAAGCCGTGAGACTGGATTTAAAGCAGAGATTCAATTTCCCAACCTCCCTGGAGTTAGAGCACAAACACGTGCCCAAAACTCTGCCAACCAGATGTGCCCACATCTGGGTATAGCTGTGGGCATAGTAGATTAAAACAGCAGATGCCACTGAGGGTTCATTCTAGCCAGGGGTGCCCTGGCACCAGCTCTCCGAGGCAGCCGTGGCAGACATTCTAGAAGGAGCATCCAGGCACGAGCATCATAGGAACTCTCTGCGGTGTCTGTGCCCAACAGGCTTCACGGGGACCTCCCGTAGGGCAGTTCTGGGTGGGACTTTGGCATAGCCTCCAGCCTGCTTCTCTGGCTCTCCCAGAAGACCCAATATCCTTCAACACATCCCATTTCTGCTGAGCTACCTGGATCTGGTGTGCGATGCTTTGCGATTATGAGTTTCGACCAATGTGCTCCTTACTTGAACTTTAGGAACCTGAAGCCTGCGCCTGGGTCCAGGCTCTGGGGAATCTTTCTAGTATCCTGTCTAGAAGGGAGGTTGGGCACCGTCTTCACAACAAACCCATGTGGCAGTTTCCATTATTTCAGTTTTGTAGATGAGAAAAATGTCAAATTCAGGTCATCTGACTCCAACTGCATTGCTCTCACCATGGCCAAAAGGGTCAGTGTCCACAGGACTGTGGGCAGGAAAGCACAGGGTGTCTTTAGGGAAGTGGATCCAAGCCTGCAGTGAAAGTTTCCAGTGGGGAGCAGTAGGTGGTGTGTTTAGAAGGAGGTTCTTATAACCAGGTAGGCCAGGCCAGAAGTTTAGACTCAGTAGCAGGGAACGTTGAAGGTTTCTGAGCAGAAGGGACAGGCGAGTGGATTTCATTCTCAGGTGAGGAAAGTGAAGACCCAGGTACACAGACTGTTCTTTACTTCCTGTGAGAGGACTCAAAAACATGCGTGCCTAATTCACAGACAGTGAACAGCAGAGAGTGGGAGAGGACTTAACCTCACCAGCCACCCTGGGACACATGCTGGTGTTGGTGGATCTCTTATCCCAATTTCTAGTCAAAAGAGCCTAACAGTCGCGAGGGTGAATTCTGGAAACCTCATAGACTCGCTTCAGACCCACTCACTGGCTGGGTACTCTTTTCTTGGGCAAATCCTTCATTATCTTCCCTAAGCCAGAGTTTCTAGACCCCTGAAATGAGGGTAACAGAACCTATCCGTATCAGTTCAGATATAGGTTTGGTTGTCGTTGAAAGGACCCCAAATCCCAGGGACTTAGGCAAGACAGATGTTTGTCTCTCTCTCCGTAACTGTGCAGGCTGATACTGTGTTTCCATGGTAGGGGGTACCCAGGCTCCGTCTATGGCATGCTCTGCCATGCCCAGCGAAGGTGGCTCATCACCACACCTTCTGGGTCCATACACCAGCCAACAAAGGGCGAGGGAATGAATGTTCTTTCCTTTCAAGTCACCCACATCACTCAGCCACAGAGGAAAGAGAGGCTGGGAAGTACAATTGTTATTCTTGGCAACCATGAGGCCAACTAACATTCAAGTGTTCTATTACTAAATGAAGATGGGAAGAAGAGCTATATGGGGGTGATGAGCAGTCTCTCTGCCTGTCTGTTTACCTATCTGTCTGTCTTTCTCTCCCCTCTCTGTGTCTATCTAATGGACTGGTTAGAAGGATGCACAGAATGTTCTATGCAATGCACACAGCACAGCCCCTGGCATACAGTTGATGTCCAGCCCAGATTAGTTATCTTCTCCTTCTAGATGGAAAAATGGATCCTACAGACATTTATGGAGCACCTACTCTGTGCAACTGTGATGAGACACACAAAGAGGACGTTCATGCAATCTCTAAGTCGAGTGTTGGAGACAGATGGTGAGGAATGAATTACAGCATGACTGGAAAGAGGGAAGCGCTGTAGTTGGGTTGTGCACAAAGTCAATGGAGCACAGAGAAGGGAGTTCTTACATCCACCTACAGAATCAGGAAAGCCTTACAGACAAAGGGACATTTGGAGTTGGGTCCTTAAAGGTACATACAATTTCAACAGATAGGAAAGGAAGGGAAGAGAACTCAGGTGTTGGCATCAGAAATCTTCCTGCCAACACAAGTCAAAACAACAATAAAGGGCTTCCCTGGTGGCGCAGTGGTTGAGAGTCCGCCTGCCGATGTAGGGGACGCGGGTTCGTGCCCCGGTCAGGGAAGATCCCACATGTCGCGGAGCGGCTGGGCCCGTGAGCCATGGCCGCAGAGCCTGCGCGTCCGGAGCCTGTGCTCTGCAACGGGAGAGGCCACAGCAGTGAGAGGCCCGCGTACCGCAAAAAAAAAAATAACAAAAAACAAAAAAACAACAATAAAGCATCATGTTTTATCCAGAAGACTGACTGAAATTAGGTATAGATACAGGTACAAGTACAGATAATACCCAGGGTTAGTGAAGTAGGGGAGAAAGGGGCACCTGCCACATACTGCTGGTGGGAGCGCACACTGGGGCAGCTTTGTTGAAACATATCAAAATTCAAACTACAAATACATCCTTTGACCCAGCAACTCCCTTTCTGGTAATCTTTCCTACACAGACACATGAACAAGAGCTCAAGGTATGCAATCAGGGATTATATTTCAGCATTGTTTATAATAATAAACAACTACAACCACAACCTACAACTCAGTCAGCCTATGACTGAAAAATGGTTAAATAAATGGCGAGTGGCCATCCTACAGAATACTCCACAGCCACTAAAAGACAGAGTCAGAAAGTATGCACAGACAGAAAAGGATGACGTCCTTATATCGTTAAGTGAAAAAGGGCCACAGCAGAACAATCTGTCCAGTATGATTGCTCTTTGTACAAAAACAGAGGCAAGTAAATAAGTGAAAATAAGGCCAAACCAAAAACAAATAGATGAACAAACTTACATCTCTGCCTGGTAACATATGTGTATGTGTGTGTACTGGGATGTATGGGAGAGATGGACCAAAATGTTGAAAGAAATTACTTTGAGGAAATGGAAGTAGAGGGAAAAGGCTTCATCTTATTCACTGTTGATGATAGCTAAATACTGGAAACAATCTAAATGTCCACCTATAGGCAATGGGTTAAGTAAATCATGATGTGCGCCCACAACAGAGCACCACAGATAGGAAAACAACACCAAGACACTATTATGAGAAAAAAGCACGTTGCAGAATCCTATGTATACTATCATTTATACTAATAGTATAGGGCTTCCCTAGTGGCATAGTGGTTAAGAATCCGCCTGCCAATGCAGGGGACACGGGTTCGATCCCCAGCCCGGGAAGATACCATATGCTGCGGAGCAACTAAGCCCATGCGCCACAACTACTGAGCCTGTGCTCTAGAGCCCATACTCTAGAGCCCGTGCTCTGCAACAAGAGAAGCCACGACAATGAGAAGCCCGCACACCACAACGAAGAGTAGCCCCCACTTGCCTCAACTAGAAAAAGCCCATGCACAGCAACAAAGACCCAACACAGCCAAAAATAAAAACAAATAAATTAATTAATTTTTAAAAATATATACATTAGGATTGAGAAACGTAAACCTTGCCACTTAAATGGAGTCAGGAGGTCAGAAGGGGGAGCTCTCATGCAGTGCCACTCACATCAATTATAGGAAGAATTGTTGATTACAGACCCTAACAGAATCATCCACAGGAACAATCATCAATCATCAACAGGCCACAGCAGGAGAGATGTACACTGCATCTTCTGTAAGAAATCGACTACCCCAGCAACTCAGCCAATGAGGAACTGTCATCACCTTGAATTCTCACTTTTTTCTGACTGACTTTCATTCAAAACACCCCCTCCCAACTTCCTCCTTTTTCTCTATAAAATAAAGTTCCTCTCCTTCATTTATTGGACTTGTCTATGGCTTTTGCTATAGCCTGCTTGTCCCGAACTGCAATTACTCTGCTATTGCCAAATAAGCCCATTTTGCTGGTAAAATAGCTGTCATCTCTAAGGGCAACAGAAATAAGTTTTAATAGGTCCTCCTGCCACCCCATTCCCAGCCTCTGCGCTGAAGCTGAGGCATCAGGGCAGCCTCTGCTCTGTGGTACATGGCAGGGGTTCATTCAGCTCAGCTGCACAGATGTTCAGCAAACCTGCACCAACCCAGCAGCTCAGAGATGGAGAGAAGTGCAGTGCAGAAGTACCAGTCTTACTGTGCAGCCAGACGTTTTAGGGGCTGGGTGTAAGATGATATTGCAATCCACCAGCGTTCTATAAATAGTACGGACTGATTATTTGGGGGAAGCAAGGAAGTTGGGTTAAGACATTCACTTACGAATTTAAGGCACAGTCAGGATGAGAGCTGTGTTGCACACACTTTAAGAGCTTCACTGGTCTATAAAATGAAAAGAAGTAATATTTAAGGGATTATTTAAATGACTTTCATTCATCAAACATTTATGGGGGGGGCCTGCAAGGTACTGGAGATACAAAGTCTTTGATCTTGAAGAACATAGTTTCTTTTTAAAAATATTAGCCAGCATTTATTGAGCACTTACTATGTACCAAGAAATCTGATTACATATTTTACATAGATTATGTCATTTAATCCTCACAACAGCCAGACAAAGCAGGTACTCTTATCATCTCCAATCTACAGTTGGGAAAGCTGTCCAGAAGAACTTGCCCAAGTTCTCACAGTAGCAAGCTGTGGAGCTGAACTTGAACCTCCACTCCAGAGCCCAAGCATGGAACCACTTCTGTAAGGATGTACGATTTTGCTTGGAAAAACCTCTTGATGAGAATTTTGGGCATGTTTGACTCGAAGCACACAGGTGATGGCTGGTGCCCAGGCTTCAGTGAAGAAAGTTAAATTTCTCTGTACAGTAGAGGTAGAAGATGCGGGGTCCAGGCAGCCAAGAGGGAAGGGAAAGCAGCAGTGAAGACAGGATCCAGGTAACAGTGGGAGGAAGGCCAAGGAAGGATCTCTGGGTAGGGGGACCAGAGGGGACTCTGGAAGAACAGGAAACACGTTCGGTCTATGGCACACTATGTGACCCCTATTCAGATATTTTTTACAAGAGTAGTTTGTTATTGCTGTGTTACACCCCCCAAAAAAGATGCATTGAGTTTCACTGAGTCTGGATCAATACAGCACTAAGCAGAAAACAATCAAGAGACAAGAGAGGCTTTGAAGACAGACATCGCCAAAATTTGCAGGAATCCTGGGGAGAACTTTCAACTACCACAGGACAGAGGTCAATGTCACCTGAATTTTGAGAGGCATCTGGCTTGAGTTTGATCTGTTAACCTTGTTCGCTCTCCCATGTTAAGCCTGTTATGGCCTCTGGGCTCCCAGGAGCAATAAAAACCCTACCTTAGGGCTTCCCTGGTGGCGCAGTGCTTGAGAGTCCGCCTGCCGTTGCAGGAGACGCGGGTTCGTGCCCCGTTTTGGGAGGGTCCCACGTGCCGCGGAGCGGCTGGGCCCGTGAGCCATGGCCGCTGAGCCTGCGCGTCCGGAGCCTGTGCTCCGCAAATGGGAGAGGCCACAACAGTGAGAGGCCCGCATAACGCAAGAAAAAAAAAAAAAAAAAAAAAAAAACCCTACCTTAACACAGAGAGCCCACGAGCAGTACAAAAATGGGAGCTGGGAGGCTGAGCCAGGCAAGGGAGGAGCCCTGAAACCAGCTTTGGTGGGGTAAACTCGAGCCAGTAAAAGCAGGCTGAGACTCTGAGGCTCACAGCCGTGAGTCAGTAATGAGACGCTGGCTGGGCTCCCACACTTGACCTGATGACTTATAAAAAGACAGCCTCCTTGGGGGAGGTCCTGGACCAAAGCAAAGGGGTCATAACTGTGGAATTTTTAGCCATGGTTTTCTCTTTATCATTGAGCTGTTTTAGAGAAAGAATTACCTTTTATTTAATTTACTAAAATCTGATGCCTTGATTAAGAATTAGAGTTCTATAGTAGAAAGAAAAGAGGAATCTTCAGGGCCACACAATGCTGGGTTCAAAATTCAGCTCTGTCACTGAGTGGTGACCTTTGGGAACTTGCTCAACCTCTCTTAACACTTAATTTAGCCATCCATGAAAAGTGGATATTTACATAAACCTTAAAAACAGACAAAAACAGGGCTTCCCTGGTGGCACAGTGGTTAAGAATCCACCTGCCAATGCAGGGGACATGGGTTCAAACCCTGGTCCGTGAAGAACCCACATGCTGTGGAGCAACTAAGCCCTTGAGCCACAACTACTGAGCCTGCGCTCTAGAGCCCGTGAGCCACAACTACTGAGCCCACGTGCCACAACTACTGAAGCGCACACGCCTAGAGCCCGTGCTCCACAACAAAAGAAGCCACCGCAGTGAGAAGCCTGTGCACCACAACAAAGGGTAGCCCCCGCTCGCCACAACTAGAGGAAGCCTGCGCATAGCAACAAAGACTCAACACAGCCAAAAGTAAATAAAAATAAAATTTTAAAAAAGCAGACAAAACTAACCTATGCTCTTACAAGTCTAGAGAGTGGTTACTATTGTGGGCAGGCAGGGAGCCTGAAAGGGAAGCCAAGGGGAGACTTGGGGTGCTGGTTGTGCTCTGTTTCTTGATCTACATGCTGGGCACATGTGTATGTTGAACTTGTGAAAATTCATCCACCTGTATACTTACGGTTTCTGCATTTTTTCTGTACACACATTATATTTCCAAAAAAGAGTATGTGCTTCGCTTTGTTTTCAAAAGAGGGTGATAACAACACCTAACTTGAGAGATTCCTGAGAGCATTAGCAATAATAGACGAGTAAAATGGTACAGCTTCAAGCTGGGAGAAGAACAGCTTTGACGGGCTTGCTCTCCTGGGGAGTCCAGAGTAGGGGGAGACCCACACTTCCAGGGGCTTTGCTCAGGTGGGACGGTTAGCAGGTCCATGGAACTTTTTTTTTTTTTTTTTTT